TAGAGACCTTGTTTAAGAGAATGAAAAGGCAAGTTACAGACTGGGAAGATATATTTGCAGACCATATATCTGAAAAAGAATTAGTATCTAGAATATATTTTTTAAAAAACACTCTCAGATTCAACATTCAAAAAACAAGCAATTCAGGCCAGGCACAGTGGCTTACACCTCTAATCTCAACATTTTGGGAAGCTGAGGTAGAAGGATAACTTTGGGCAGCATAGTGAGACCAGCTTGAGCAACATAGTGAGACTTCGTCTCTACAAAAAAATTAAAAACAAAAAATCCAATCAATTCAAATAGAAAATGAGCAAAAGCCAAAGACACATTTCATTCACAGATAGCAAATAAGCACAAGAAAATATGATCAACAACATTAGTCAGTAGGGGAATGCAAATTAAAACCACAATGATATATTATGCGTACCTGAAAGAATTAGTAAAATAAAAATACAAACAACAGCAAACTCAGGTGAGGATGCAGAGAAACCTAATTATGGCTGTGTTTAGGTTATAGCTATTGACAACCTAGTATCTACTACAAGGAAATTAGCATAGTTTCATTCATTCAACAAATATTATATTGAATCAACTACATGTTCCAGGCACTAGGCATTTGGGATAGTCATGGGATACCTATGAGCACAGAAAAACAGTAGGAAACGAGGTCATTAGCTAAGAATGAAAAGAAAGGAGAAGAAATGAAGAGAAAAGATATGAAGCAGGCATCAAGGCATTAACAAAAGTAAGGACCAAAGGCCAAATCATGACACATGGCCTATTTTTGTACCAGTAGTGTTACAGGGACAGTGCTTGCTACTTTCCCCAGCAGTTCAAGGTGCTGGGAGATAAGAAAGTATAAGATCACAGGGGAGATGAGGAAGAAGGGTGTGGGTAGGTTTCATGACTTTCCCTAAGTGGCTCCTGTTGTTCTCCCAGGCTCTACCATGGAAGATGCTTTCCCAGGACTCTTGCAAATCTTCTTTTGTCAGCACTCAGTGAGATCTGTGAAAAAAGCCTGTAAGTAACTGCAAATTCTCTTGCTAACCCACACTATGCATTTACCAACTGGAAAACAATTTGAGCTGAATTCTTTACCTTGGTATCTAGTGGCAACTGACCCAAGTAATCAATGCTTGTATCTATTCTCCTTGCAGGTGCTTTCTTTCCTCTGATTTTGGGTTAGTCAATTTCCCTGTGACCTCAGTTCCCTGAATGCTTCAGGAAAATATGTACAGATTGTCTGGCTTTTGTTGTTCTTGCTGCTGTTGCTGGAAGGCCAGAAGCAGTGTTCATTTTGGTTTTCTATAGCCAAGGGAAAGCTTGCCTAACATGATTAAGTTCAAACTCTACCTTTTCAGTGTTTGTACTTGGGAAACTGATTATAGCTGAAGATACATGACTCACCTGGCTGATCTTTTTCTAAATTCAAGATCATCAACCTCAAATGAAGCCCTTGGTGGTGCCCCAAAAACCCACCTTACAGCCCTAGTCTACTCCTAGCCCTAGTCTAGTCCTAGATCAGAGGTCAGAAAGCCTTTCCCACAAAGAGTTACATAGTAAATATTTTAGACTTCCCAAGACACAGTCTCTTGTCTCATATTCTTTATTTGGGTTTATACCTCTCTCTAGGTTTGCATATTCATGTTTTGTTTTGTATATCCATTCATTCATGATTTTGTTCCATATTTATTCTTCTTGATGTTGTCTGAACTTCTTGGATCTGTTGTCTGATATTTGTCATTAATTTTGGAAAATTCTCAGTTGCTTGTTCTTCAACTATTTCTTCTTCCCCAGTCTTTCTTTCTTCTCCTAGTGGGATTCTAATTATGTGTATGTTAGAATGTTTGATATTGTCTCACAGCCCTTAGATAGCCTGTTCTGTTTTTTTTTCTCTACTTTTTTTCTCTTTTTATTCAGTTTCAGTAACTTCTATTGATTCATCTCCAAGTTCACTCGTTTCTACCACTTTTTGAGTGGTATTATCTATTATCTATTGACAAGCCCATCCAATGAATTTTTCATTTCTGTTACTGTGTGTTTTTTTTATTTCTAGCATTTCCCTTTGATTTTTTCTTAAAAGTGTCCATCTGTCTGCTAAAATTACCTATCTTCTCTTGCATATCATCTATCTTTTCCATTTAAGACTGTAATATATTAGCTATGGTTATTTAAATTTCCTGTCTGGTTTCTCCAATATGTGTATCTTTTTGAGACTAGTTAAAGATTGCTCTGTCTTTCAGACTGCTTTTTCTTGCTTTTTTTATGCCTTGAAGATCATAACTTTTTGTTGAAAGCTAGACATGTTACATAGAGCTGTAGATATGGAGGTCAATATTTTTATTCTTGAAAATACGTTCACCTTTTCTATTGACAGGTCTTTATTATGAAGATATGTGTCAGTCTAAATAGAGGCTGAGCTGGGTCTGAAGTTTGTGGTTACTATGATTATCAGATTTGGAGTTTGTTGTTGCTATGGACACTACAGATTTCAAATTCTTCTAGTGGTACCTTGTTTTGAGTTTGCTTTTTGGTTTTTCCTTTGTGCTGCTCCCAAGAAAGAAACTGCCCTTCAAAATTCTTCCAATCATATTCCACTGTGATTATTACTGCAAGTTTTCGGATGTTCCAATTAAGCCTCAGTCTTATTTGTGAATCTGGGTCTCAGGGGTATGGTCTTCAGAAGTGTTCCCTCCTCGAGGAATATAGCTGTCCTTTAAATTTTTCTTTTCTGCCTGTTTTCTTTAATCAGCTGCACTGGGTACCTACTGAAATTCTCAAACAACAGTTTTGATAAACTTCTCCTTATAGATCATGGCTTTTTTACTTAGAAGAGATTAGGGGTGGGGGTCTAAGTGGAGTATGAGCACAAGCTGCGATTCTCCTTCCCTAGCCAGCACTACAGGGGAAGCTTTCTCTGAATTTTCCTCAATCTTCCTTGAGATAGCCTGCTGACCCCCGGAGCCTTCCCATCTCATGCCAGCCCACACTGAGCCTTTAGCGGTTCGTTAAAAATTTCTAATTTAATCTTCCTACTGGCTTATATGACATTCAATAGCAGCTATCCAAGTCAAGCACAGGCTCAGGTCCTATTTCTCTCTGCAGGGATCTGTCCCTCTCCGAATTTTGTTTTGGTTATTTTCCCTCTGGCCTTAGTTTTCAAATGGGTTCAAAAAAAGTTGTCAATTTGCAGTCTTCCAGCTCTTTTTCTTATTGTAGGGGTGAAAGTATAATCTTTCCAGCTCTCTTCATCTCCAAACTGAAATCTGAAGCCTCCAGAAGCTTAATACATAAAGAATTAAGAGTTCTTTATCGATTAAGTATAATAGCCTTTTTTCAATGATACATATTACAAATGTTTTCTTCCAGTTTGCCAGTTGTCTTTTGATTTTGTTCATGGGTTTTTACTCTTCTCTGCTTTGCCTTTCCCACAGAAAACCCAATAAAGACTTTGATCTAGGCTTTCCCCTCACTACTGCTTCTGCCTGACCAAAGCAATATTTTCCTGGCACCACATGGTGTGGCCTGTCCCTTTCTCCAGAGAAATTTAAGGCATAAATTCTTCTTTCAATGGCAATGACCTCTCCATGCCATCACTCAGTCAACTGCATAAATTAAGACCTCTTAATTTATGTTTAGAGTTGCACAGAATAACTCTGATTCTATTTATATAAAATTCTAGAAAATACAAACTAAGCCATAGTGACAGAAAGCATATTAAATGTTCTAGACAGCAGTCTTCAGAAAGCAATTTAGCAATAGTTGATAAAGCTGAAAGAGCACACACTCTGTAACATAGCAATTCCATTTCTAGGTATATATTCTAGAGAAAATCTTGCAAAAATACAGTAGAAAATACATATAAGAATGTATGTTTTGGAACTGCTTATAGTATAAAAACTGGAAATAATTTAATATTCACAAATAGGGATATATATATATAAAAACTTGAATTCATAAAATGGTTAAAATTAAAGAAATAAATGTATACACATACACAGAGTTAAAATATAATATTGAGGAAAAAGTTGTAGAATGACTCATTCAGTATGACATCATTTATGTGAAATTAAAATACATAAAACAATCCTTGAAAGCAGGGACTGAATGGATATGCACATCAAATTTATGGTAAAAAATACTTGTAGTAGGAAAAAGAGCAAATTAGATTGGAAATAAAACAAAGGTGACTTTGTCTTAAAGTATTTATAGTATTTTAGTTATTTTATTTTTAAAATACATGTTGCAAAAATGAAAAAAAATTATCATTTATTTATTCTAGATGGTTGGTTACACATATTTGAATATTATTCCCAAAGTTTCTGTAATTTTAAACATTTCAAAATCAGTAGAATCATTTTTAAATTATAAAAGATTAAAAAGCAATATCTTTTAATTGATATGCTGAATTCTGAGATAACTTTAAACTCAAAAGTAGTATTTACCATGATGATGTCAAATTTGTCTTAAGAGTTAACAAACTGAGTTTACTAATTTTGTTGCTGTTTTTTAAATTTCTAGAATTTACAGGCTACCATTTAAAAATCATACTTTTTTAGTTGAAGTATTAGAAGATAGTCACAGATTTCTGGCTGTGTGACAAAATAAGTCTTACTTTACTAATATAACTCCACAATCACTATTCAGTTCAACATTTTTCCTGTCCCTTCCTGTGGTCATGATGCCCACCTGCAAGGTCTCCAAAGCCTACAGCCCACTACCATCTAGAACCCCTTCTGGCTCCAATGACACCCTTTCACATTTGGCTTGTCTATTAACCTGGTCTTTATTTCTATACTAAAGTTTATTCTCTGAGTTCATATGTGCACAGTTTCTTGGGTCTTTAAATTTTAAGAGAGGAACTTTTGATACTCTGCTCAACTATAAGAATACATTCAATCAATAAAGATTCCTCCTTTTTGTAACATCATTGTGCTTACTATTTTTATCTGATGAAAGCATCACTCCTCAAATATTATTCATCTCAAATCATAACTCACCTCTGGATAAAGATGGAAGCGTTTCACTGTATTAATTACAAGGGGATATTCAGTAAGCCTGTCATTCATAATCATCCATAGTCCTTCCAAAAATGAAGGTGCTTCAATTATGGTCTTGAAGTAGGAATAATAAAGACCCTTTAAAAAAAAAGGGACATTATGTAAGTAGAACTTTAAAATATTTATTTTTATAACTCATTTTACAACATTTTTTTCTGAAAAAAGGAAAAGATCAATGTTAAGATTTCCTAATTACTCCTTGCTATTACATTCTTGGACACAAAAAAGCATGTATTTTCAGGTGATCACCATACTATTCTTTCAACTTTTCTACAAGTTTGAAAAATTTCAAACTAAAGACCTGGAGGAATGATCAAATGTTTTAAAGAGTTTGTCCAGCGGTGCGTTAAAACGGTATACTTTTACTATATCTGGTTTTGCCTGGTATCCACATTAGGAGATGCTTGGAGGTTGGCATCTGATAAATTTTATCATAAACAGAGATGCCTTTATGTCCTTGTACAACTTTGCATATGGAAAATTACTATTTTTTCTCATGCTCTTATGAAATAACATATAATATCCATAAGTATCATGAGCACGGAACTCCATGCTTCCAGCTTACTTCATAGCTCTATCTAACGGCTCTATGCAAAGGAAAACCGAATGTCATTGACCATTGTTACTCACAAATGCTGTGTATTGAAAAGGGGATTCTTTCACTGTCTTACTTCAACATATGAAATAATGGCTTAATTAGGATAGTAAAAGTGCTGTTGAGTTAAATCTGTGCATTAGCAGCATGTTGTGTCTTATTTCCCTCATCAATTTCTTGCTTTCTCTCCTAAAATCTAAGAGCAAATAAAGGGTCACATTGTTTAAAGTACAGTCTTCCAAAATAACATTTAAAATAATTTTCAACTCTATAGTAATTCCTGTCTCATCCAATTACTTTATTTTTGGTATATTAAGCAACTAGTAGGTACTAAATTAAGGATCTATTTTGGGTGATGTCTGACAGGGCATTTCCTCGTAGTTTGGTAAAATGTGAGTCCATAAAGGGTTTTCCTTTCTGCTTAGGAAGGTGATAAGGCAACACAACAATTAAAGGATATCTAATACACACAAATCTATATTTAGAGAGAATTTAGAGAAATTCTATATCAAATATAGAAATAAGTTTTATTAATAACAGTTATTGTTTTATGCCAGTTACGAGGCTATGGGCTCCCATTCATTATCTCCCTTAATTTTTGCTAAAATTTTGTTGGTGCTATTTCTCTTTGACAGATGAGATTACTGAGAATCAGAGGTTAACTGCCAGCTGTTGTACGATGAAGGCCAAAACTACTATCAGAATTCAGTGGTCTATCACCAAAGCCCAAAGTCAGCTCTACTCTTTATTTTTTTACTTTACTTTTTTATTTATAAAAAAATTTTATTTTATATAGATGAGGTCTTGTTATGTTGACCAGGCTAGCCTCAAACTCCTGGTCTCAAGCAATCCTTCTGCCTTAGCTTTCCAAAGTGTCGGGGTTACAGGCATGAGCCATCGCAACCTGCCTACACTCTTTAGTTAATAATTTTTTAATATCCTGTCTTTGGAGATGATATGCTTAAAATATTCAAATGCCATACAAATATTAACATATCCAGTTCTTCAAAGCTTTACAGGTGCTATAGGAATTAAAATCAAAAAGCAGTGGCTGAGGCGCCTAGAACAGACAAATTCATAGAGAAAGAAGGTCAAGTGAGGGCAAGGGGGAATTATTGCTCAGAAGGTACAGAGTTTCTGTCTGGGACAGCAAAAAGTTCTAGAGATGGATGGTGGTAATGGTTGCACAACAATGTGAGTATACTTAATGTCTCTGAATTATACATTTTAAAATGGTAAAAACAATAAATTTTATGTTTTTATGATAAAATTTATGTTTAATTTTTTAATTTAAAATTTAAAATTTTACCACAATTTAAATAAAAAGCAGTGGCAACAGAATCAGAAGAACTAGTTTCAGTGCTTTACTCGGTCCCCAGTTAGCTGTGAGCTGATCTGGAGGACAGCTGTGGTTTTTTCTAAATGTAAAATTCTGCAGTTCTGGCATTCACTATCCCAACTAATCTCATTTAATTATGTGAGATATGTATAGCAGACAGTATTATCTCCATTTTTATAATTTAGGTATCAAAAAACACAAAAATTACCAAGAAATTATATTAAAAGTTATCTCTTTAAGAAGACTGTCTTGAAATCAGAAGATAACTTTAAAAAATTTAAAGCCAGGTAAAATATGGAATCTCCCAACTCTAACCAGAGAAAAATCAATTTCTGATAACATTTGATATATCTATATCACTTCTTCAGTGCTATATTTGTTTTCCTTCTTCCTCAGCTATTATAACTGATTTTTATCATCATAAAAAGAAATCTACATTAGGGAAGGGGGATAGACAGTGCAATAAGTAAAAAGAAAACCCCTCTTTCCTGTTTAAATAAATTGATTATTTAAATAAATAATAAACCTGGGTTACAGCTTAAGAAACAGTACAGTTCACCAAAAATACATTTCAGTTACTAATATATTTCTACCTTATAGCCTTACTACTCTTAAACCATAAATTAATTCATTAGAAGAACCTAACCATTTCAGTGCGGAAAGTCATCTCCCGTTCCAAAGTTGAGAGGTGAGAAAAATGACGGTCATTTTCAAAAAGTGTTACTAAATGTATCCTAGAAAAAAAAATTATATTGTAATAAGAACAGGTTTCAAAACCAGTACTAACATAAGTTATAGACAAGCAAAGTAATAAAGCTATAGAAAGGAAACAAATACATTTTATAATGAATATTAAAGTAATTTTATAATTTACTTAATAACTTGTACATTTTTAGGCATTATAATCCAGTGTAGCACACACCTGAAATTCTTTAACTCCTTGGTTTTTACACTTAACTGTATATATAAAATTCTTGTGACTCTCTCAATCCTTCCTCTCACCTCAGGCCTCTAAATCAAAACTGGGGAAGGTTTTTGTGTTCGTGTTTTTTAGAGTGGTCTTACTAAGTTGCCAAGCTGGAGTAAAGTGGCACAATCATAGCTCACTGTAACCTCGAACTCCTGGTGCCTCTCAAAGCACCAGGATTACAGTGTTTGTTTCACAAGTGATTCTGATGCACCAAGTTTGAGAAACATCTCTGTAACTACTGAAAGGCATTTCAAATATAATTTTTAATAAAATTACTTTAGATTAAAGCAGTTTTGAAATAAGTTTAATATCATATAAGAAATCAATTTTTAAGTGCCAAAGAACATAGGACTATACCTAAAAACATTGAGTAGCATAACTCAACAGCTATAGGCAGTAAAAAAAGGAGCACATGAGATAAAATTAGGTTTAGTTAGCAATTATGCTATCCTTAATTTATGTGGTGAATGTTTTTTGATGAAGTAAAAAGCAAAGCAAAATTCCACATATCAACCCTGTTTCCACTAACCCTTTTTTACATGTAGGACATATGCCAGGGTACCAACAACTGCAGAAATGTTTCCTACCATTACAGTCTTAGTTCTAACATCAAAATCTCCCCACAGACTAAATGGCCGGAACAGCACTGTCCCAACAGAACATGGGGTAGATCCCATACTTTCTAGGGGTAGAAATCCCTAATCTCAGGTAGAAATAAAAATATTCAAGAGGAAAAACATTATCATCTTACACAGAATTCTTACAAAGAGATTACTTGTGTAAAACAATGTGCATGAACACGCACAATGAAAGGTTCAAAGTCATTAATTCTGTATTACCACTGCAGGATTTTTATTTTCATTTCTACCGGATTTTCCTTCCTTCCTTCCTTCCTTCCTTCCTTCCTTCCTTCCTTCCTTCCTTCCTTCCTTCCTTCCTT